CCCCTTTGTAAGTTTCCTATTCAGAGTAATTCACCAATAATTAAGTAATCCGAAACAATAGGATTGCTTTGGATTACATGATTACAGTGACATTACTTAGTGCTCGAAGTAATCCACAGTACATGAGAAATACAATGCAGATCGGTGCCCTGTACTGTGTTGTGCACTGATCAGATACTTTTACTTTTTGCGATACTTTTACTTTAATATAATATTACCAAAGTGAATACTGAACATTTAAAAGATAAATATGTACAAGTTAGCATTTTTATGCTTTATTTATAATTTGTTTCTAACACATATTATGATATTCCACATTTTATCAAATGATTTTTAATATTTTTAATATTGAAATCCATCTATTTTTGCTGACAATAGAAATTATGAACCAGTTAAGAAAAAGGACTATTTAACAAGTAGATATATTTTAATTTTATTTTGACTAGTTGCCTCAGTTCTATGAGTTTTAGACAGATTCACAGAGGTGTCTCTCCCATGTACATAAAAATGGGGCTGATTCTTGTTAAACCGTAACAACAGTCTTTGTGAATTCCCCGGATAATGTTCATGAATAATCTTATCTGTACAATTATGCCAGCATCTGTTTTAGCTTTAGCTTGGCAACAGGTATGGACTCCATTATCTACACCCCATACCTCAGCACATATTGAAGAGTAGACAATAGAGCATATACTTATTTGTGACTAAACCTAATGAGTTTCAAAGTTAGTTTACACGGGTCATTGTTTTTTGCATTGTTCTTCTGCAATGAAATTTATATATTTTCAATATGATATTGCAGAGCAGTACGAATGCTGCATTTAACTTGCTTCTGAGTCTGATGCCCATTTTAGACTTGGGTTGATGTGCTTTGTCGCTTCAGAACTGCTTCTTTCCACATACAAATCTACAGGAATGCAAAATAAATTGAAATAGCCAATAGGAATCTAGTAATGCATTCCTATGGCCCCGTGTCACTATAAAAAAAAAAGAAAAAGCAGTGTTTCTCTCCTGGGCGGCCGGGAGCGGGAGACTCCCGGGGCGCCTGGCAGAGTTAGCTTTCTACTGAACCGAAGGGGTCATGGGGCCGGAGCTAACCGAAGGATCGGCCGAAGCTACAGCTAGATCCTTCGGCTGCTTCGTGAATAGACCACATCGTCCTTGTTGGCAGTGAACTATAACCACTGAGTGTTTATATAGAAGAGAGGCTAATCCTTTTATTAGTAGACAACTATGGGTAAACAGCTGAAAATATCTGGTATATGGCACATGTATTTCTTATTATGCTGGCCTCTGAAAGATATTTTGTTTGCCTCAATGTATGCTGTGCCAGGTGTCTATAGTAGCCCAGTTATATAATTACAAAATACAATTTTACAATATTATTAAGATAAGAAATTATAATAATATAGTTTGTGACTGTGTGCCTTGTACAAAGGGAATATGTTATATTTTATTAAATGTAACACAAACTGTGCAATTACAGTGTCAGAGGAAAAAGTGAAAGCATACTGCTTTAGACGTATTTGAAAACATAAGATGCATATGTGAAACAAACTAGAGGACGGTAAGAGCTGAATAATTAGAGATGAGCAGATAATTAATTAATGTCTGCAGGCTTATGCTGATAAGATGAAAGTTGGTCTGCTAGTTTATCAAGTAGAAGCATGTAGCCCTCAGCATGACATGAAGATTGTAACAAATGCCTGGAATAAAATGTAATTAGGGATGCATTTATCTAAAAAAGAAGCATCACTTACCTCGTTCACGGACAATGACTGCGCATGGAAGGATAAAAAGAGAGAGAGAGCGAGAGAGATAGTAAGTTGCTGGTGCATAATGTGATTTCTACAGTCAGCACTCTTCAGTGACAAAATGGACCTTAACATGCTCTTGATCTGGGCAGTGATGTGAATGCACAATCAGACTTTCTCCCTAAACACTGTGACAAATCACTCATAAAATGGATGGGAAGAACAATTCTAGCTCACTGCTTCAGTGAAGTATTAGAAGCTTTTCTGAGCAGAAGCATTTTACAGATGTGATATCAGGGATCTAACTCTGCCTGGTAGATATATCAGATCGTGTTTCCACACTAAACTCTTAAGCTATCTCTACAGTATGTTTGTTTAACATGACACTAAATGCAATTTTAAAACACCTGTTTATGGATATGAACAGCTTATAAAATGTGAATGGATAACAAAGATTGGTCTGCTAATATTGAATCTCTAATATATGTCTAATAATGACGGGTCAGTCTATCTAATACGGCTATTTCATTATGGATGGACACTACTGCAGTGAAGATCTTGGATCTTGGATTGGGTCGCTTGACCCTATCAGCCTACTTCCCAACTCTGCCACATCCTGTGATGGAGCCTGAACCTTCTTGTGTAGCACACGCAGTCTTATTATTGAAGTAGCAATGTAAAAACAATAAAAAGCCCCAGAGGGAGGCTTAGACATCCTTAACCTATGCAAGGTAATTCAGAATCTACTGGATTTTCCAATCTTCTGGCATCCTCACAAAGCTAAAATATCAGATTTTGATGGACTTCCCTGTATGAATAATATTGTTATATTAATAATTTGCAAGTGGCTATTGTGTCACAAAGCATGTCATTTAGAAACTTACCTTTTTTTCCCAACATAAATTTGATATTGTAAACTGGTTTGGCCGTTTTCACACAAAACATGCTGTGTTCTGCAAAGATTGGTCCCAGTATAGACACACATCAAGTTGTTGCAGTTTTCAGCCCATGTGTTTAAAGGTTAGTCCAGCAAAATCTGAATTGTGCTACCTCAAAGCAGAAAGACTGTGTAGAGAAACCTATATAATATGTCCCACATGCACAGATGCAGTTGCCTACATTTGGAAACCCTAAAATGTGAGTGCTATCTGGTTGTCAGATTCATTATTTTAAGTTTTACACAAGGATACGTGCACCTTTTTATTGCACCCTTAGGTAATAACTGATCATGTTTTAAATTCCTACACAATATTGTACGAGCAAGTGATAATACTAAAATACTTTAGTCAGGAATCAGAATCTGATGTCTCAGTTTCTAAAAGCCTGTGTTTTTGTTGGAATTCTTGACGTTGTGAACAGCCATATGCTGTTCACAACGTCAGTGTCACTTTTATAAAGTATGACTTTAATGTTCAATGGTAGGTGCTCATGGAAAAAAGCATGACGATCACACTTACGTGTTCCTTCTTCCGTAACCATTCCAAGGCCTTCTGCTTTGTTCTGCCTTTCAAATGCATTCAAGTCAAGAACACTGAATAAAGAGAAAAAAAAAAAAGACAAAAAAGAATGAGATTCAGTCTTGATTTGACCTATGTTGGTGAGGGGGTTCTGCTCTACTGTTAGTAGCTGTGCTAAGCTGACCTTGTGTTTAGTGTACCCTGTAAGGTAAAAAAGCGTGGGCTTGAATCAATTGTTTGTAATATGCTTTAGAGCATGTATAGTGTTGCATTTTACCATGAGAAAAACATGCTGAATGTTCTGCACAAGTGACAATAACAACATTATATTTTTCCAAGTCTG